CCATCTGGTGGCCAGAGATAAAATCTTGGAGGCATCTCTCCTGCTTAGTGTGCTGGGCTCCCCTCTCTCCAGCTGCTTCCTTTCAACTGACAGTTCTGACATTTGCCCTCAAATTTAAAGTGACCACCTTTCAGTCACAGCGTGATCTCCATGCCCCAGTGTTTACTTGCTTTAAACACATCCATTAAAGCTCCCTGCTGGACACCTGTCAGATAACACCCTGGACCCGAAAAAGCCAACAGGTCCCTCCTCTCCTTTCTGTCTGGGCTTTCTAGAGTCTGTATCTGTTGTGTCGAGGTTGGCATGTGCTCGCCAGTGTAAGTGGTAAACACACTTATGATTTCACATTTTGGTTGTATCACTGAAGCCTCACCTGACATCCAGGTCCTGACATCAAGGAGGCCCCATGGGATCCTTGAAGGTTGAGGCCCTGCTGGAGCTCTTTTCTTGGGGCCTCTGGTGCTGCTGCAGACAAGAGCTGCCAGCTAAGTTAATGAAGAAACTGAAGAGTTTCATTCAAAACAAGGGTCAGACAGTATATTCCTGGGCTTGGGCTGTTATAACAAACACTGTCGCCTTGGTGACTTAAACAGTAGAAATCTATTTATCACAGTTCTGGAGGCTGGAAAGTCCAAAGTCCAGGTGCCAGCTGCTTCAGTCCTGGCTAGGGCTTTCCCGCAGGTGCCTGTTTTCTTAATGTATCTACAAATGGTGAAGGGCTGGGAGGGGGAGAAAAGACAGAGAAAATGAGAGAGACGATTCTCCTGTGTCTGTTTTTATAAAGGCATTAATTCCATCATGAAGCCCCCACCTTTGTCATAATCTCAAAGTCATCTGCTTTCTTTGAGTATGCACACGTGTATGTGTATGTGTTGAATATTTATCAATTAAGTAAAATTTCAAAATAGGGGGCCAGAAATGGTGGTTCATGCCTGTAATCCCAACACTTTAGGAGGGCTAGGTGGGGCTTGAGCCCAGGAGTTGCAGACCAGACTGGGCAATATGATGAACTCTTTTATCTACTAAAAATAGTTTTAAAATATATAGCTGGGTATGGTGACACACACCTGTAGTCCTAGCTACTCGGGAGACTGAGGTGAGAGGATCACCTGAGCCCAGAAAGTCCAGGTTGCAGTGAGCCATGATTACACTCCTACACTACATCCTGAGAAACAGAAGTGAGACATTGTCTCAAAAAAAATTTAAGGGCCTAGCGTGGTGGCTCACGCCTGTAATCCCAGCACTTTGGGAGGCCGAGGTGGGCAGATCACGAGGTCAGGAGTTCGAGACCAGCCTGGCCAGCATGGTGAAACCCCGTCTCTACTAAAAATACAAAAAAATTAGCCGGGCATGGTGGCTTACGCCTGTAGTCCTAGCTACTCAGGAGGCTGAGGCAGGAGAATTGCTTGAACCCGGCAGGCAGAGGTTGCAGTGAGCCAAGATCGCGCTACTGCACTCCAGCCTGGGCGACAGAGTGAGACTCTGTCTGGAGAAAAAAAACAAAAAAACAAAAACAAAAACAAAAAGAAAGAAATGAACCACAGCACTTCCCAGTAAATCACTCCAGATGGAATTGCAAAATGTTACTCTCAATAACTCCTGGATGAGTATACTTAGAAATGAACAAATGTAAGAGAGTCCATGTTTCAAATCCAGTGCGTTATTTTATGGAGCTTTTCACAAGCTCCAAAAGATTCACAGTGCAGAACTGGAGGTTCTAGAGAAATTCTGCGCCTCCTCCTGCAGGTAACTCTTATCACTCGGAAAGCAGCTCTTGGCTCATCCCTGGGTCTGGGGCAATCAAGTTCAGGTCCTGGTGCTCTCTGAGCTACCAAACCATAACCTGAGGTATGCACAGCAGCCTCCAGCATCCACAGGAGAGCTGAGCATGGGGTCAGGCTCAGGCAGGTCCAAGGCCAGCAAGTGACTCAGGCTCCCATGGCACCTCTCCTCCTGCCCCTCCCTCTACCACATCTGTGAGCTCCTGGGAAGCCCCATGACCTCATACAGAGGAGGAAACTGCAGACCAGGCTTATGGATGGGTCCTCACGGTGAGCTGGCACCCAGCAGAAGTGGACGGTGGCTGCCTTAGTGCCCACTTCAGGCGGTCCTGAGGAGTGACGTAAGGAAATCCTTCAGATGGGCAGAGCCTCAGGGGTTCTGCAAGGAGAGATGGACTTGGGCCCATTGCATGAACCCAGAGTGGGCCACATGGTCAAGGACTTGAAGAGAATAAAAGAGTAAAATTAAGACAGGGAGGAGACATGGATGTTCCTCTGGGGATGGGCACAAAGTGTGAGCTATGCCGTCCCCACCCTTAAGCCCAGAACCTGTGCTGTGAGGATGAGGTTCTTGCTGTTTGGTGGACATTGTCAGGCAGACTGTGTCCCTCAGAGCTTGCTCAGGGGGTCCAGGCACAGATGTCCACACGGACAGGGAGGACAGCGACGTACCTTACCACAAGTGGACTGAGTCTCCCAGCACTGGCCTGGCTGCACACTGTACCCAGCCCCGCCCAGTGTAGGCACAGCCCAGGGCTAAGACCCTGGAAGGTGTCATTTTACAGGAGGACTACCTGACCACTATGGATAGGCTGGCCACACAGGACACATCCCATCCTGGAGGGGACTGGGCTTTGTCCTCACAGGGATACACACACACTGAGGGTTCCAACTGGACTTCCCTGGACCCTGCTCAGTGCTTCCGTGAACAGGGCCTTTCCTGTGGCTCTGGAACCTATGCAGGATTACTTCCACTGGGGGACACATCTTAACGCAAAGAATGGGAGGTGATTAACTCACACCCGTGGAACCCACTGACCATCTCAGGTGCCCCACGACACGGAGACAGCTGCTTCTCAGAATGGCGCAATGGCTCGTGTGTGGCTTATCAGGGCACCAGGAGGGAGACCGTACCCCGTTACCCCACAGGAGATGCCACACATCTTATAAACCAGCAGCCAGGCCATCAGGTCACTTTTCCCAGGGCCAGATGCAAAGATCCAGGAAAGACAGGAAGAATAAGGGCGAGTCCCTCCCATGATTGCATCTGCCAGCCCACTGAGAGAATGCTTGCTCCTTGTCCCCATGGCCCTGGGCTGCCGTGGATGAGGAATCTCTTCCTAGTTCTGATCTGTGGGAAGCCATGACAGCCCTCCAGCCATCCTGTGCCCCTCGTGCTGCCAAAACAGCAGGCAAAGGAGAGGTCTCTCTGCAGTCGGGGGAACGGCATCTGATTACAGAGGGAGGTCAGGTGGCTGGGACAAGGCGGCTATTTTTGAAGGCAGGCAACTCATGGGGGTAACATTTCCTTGGCCAGGGCCCTGTTCCATGGAAAACTATAGAAACTCACTAAAGACAAGGCCATCCAAGACTAACTCTCCATAAGAACCAAGATTTGGGTTATGTTGCAGGTAACAAATAACATCCAAAGGAGGTTTTGGAGGTGGGAAGAAAATGTGGAATGTACTAGAAGAAAGCAGCTCTGAGCACCAGCAGCCCTGTCCCCAGGACCTCAGCAGCTGTGTTGGAAGCCATCTCCTCCCCATCTTCCTCTCATTGTGGGCGAAGAACTGGTGCCCGGCATAATGGGAGGACAGCATCATTGTCATCATCACACACACTGTTGCTGTGACAGAGGAAAGGACTGGAATTGTGTGTCATCTGCACGGAGGACTCTGATTTTTTCCCCCTTGAGACAGGATCTCACTCTGTCACCCAGGCTGGAGTTGACAGTTGCACAGTCTTGGCTCACTGCACCCTTGACCTCCTGGACTCAGATGATCCTCCTCCCTCAGCCTTCTGAGTAGCTGGAACCACAGATGTGCACCACCACAACAGGTAAATTTTTTGTATTTTTTGTAGAGAAGTGGTTTCACTATGTTGCCCAGGCTGGTTTCAAACTCCTGGGCTCAAGTGATCCTCCCACCTCGGCTTCCCAAAGTGCTGACATTACAGGCGCAAGCCACCGCGCCTGGCTTGGACTCTGATTTACATCTGGACAAAGGGAAAGGGTGGATGCTGTAGAGGCAAGGGAGTGAATGGTACTAGACATGTTCTGTTTCCTTCTCCAGCTTCACTCTCTTCTCCTCTTCCCTCCCCTCTTCTCTGTTCTCTACTGTAAATGGTAGATCTATGGGGGCTGGATCAGTGGAGTCTCCTGCTTCCAGCCTCTAGGGGGTTCAGTCAGTGGGGAACCTCAACTGCAGACCAGAATGAGGACATCAGTTTGGAATTTTAGTTCCCCACCTCCCTCCCCAGTATCATTGTGGGCTGGATGTGTTTTTCAGCCTGAGATGGGAGCTCCTGTTAGGCAACCCTCTCTGAATATCTCTCTCTTTCTGTCTCTGGCTCTCTCTCCAGCTCTCTCTATTTCTGTCTGTGTATGTGTGTCTCTCTCTCTCTTCTCTGCAGATTCCAGCAGTGGCTCCTCTCCTCGCCCTTATTGGGCGATGGTGGTAAGAAAGACCCAACGGTAACAGCTCTGGGAAAATGCTAACCCATTTTCTTCTGGAGTTCTCTCAAGCCCTTATGTCAATTATCCCATGATAGGCAGATGCTACATAGCAACGTTTGGGTCAATGACGAATTGCGCATAGAACGGTAGTCTCCGGAGATGACAATATTGTATTTATGCTGTACCTTTTCTACGTTTAGATGTGTATAGATACACAAATACCTGTCGTGGTGTTAAAATTGCCTGCAGTATTCACACCATAACATGCACTGCAGGCTTGTAGCCTAGGGGCAGTCAACTCTACCATCCATCCTGGGTGTGTGTTGGGCTGTACCATCTGGGTTTTTGTAAGTGCTCTCTACAATGTTCCTATGGCGATAAAATCACCTAACGACACATTTCTCAAGACATATCCCTGTCGTTATTAAATGCATGACTATACTAATCTGTCCTGCAGCCGCTCAGATGGGACGAGCCACCTGTTTGTGTGAGGACCTTGGCTGGAAGCCTCATACGTCTCAGTGCATCTTCCCCTCCAGGTAATGGTCTCTGCTACCATCCAAGCTGGTTTGGAGACATGAACCAGACCAATAAAGGGCAGGCTTTGGATGATCATTTTTTCATTAGGTTCCTCTCCTCCCCCACACTAGATCCCTGGGTGTCCTGCTGTCCCCTCACATGGAGAAACCTCAGCACTGGAAGAAAGGACAAGGTCTTTATTATTCAGATACATGCAGCCACTCCTCCAACGTCCCCTCTCCCATAGGACAAGTCCAGCTGCTCCAGGCTCTCCCCAGGGTCGCTATTAGGTGAGTAGACATGAATGATTGTGTGTGGGGAAGATAATTCATGGGCAGGATGGGAAAAGAATTTGGTGTCCAAGGCCATTAAGTTACGAGGTCAGAGGGACGGTTGAGTGTGGTGGTCAGCAGGGGTGAAGAATCGTGGGGGAAATGGAGTTAACAGGAAGGGCAAAGAGCCCCCCACCAAAGCGCCAGGGCCAGTGCCAGCCCCACCCCCCAAGTGAGAGACTCCAGGCCCCCAGCCCCACCGCTCTCAGAATCACCCTTCTCACGCACAGAGAAGATCCCGATTTGTCTGGTGTGCTTCAACAAGGAGCTGGAAGGTTGGGCCACACAGCCCTGAATGCCCATTGTGGTGGTTATCCCACCTAGAGGGAGAAGACCAAATCAGAAAGGACACAAAGTACAGCCTAGCCAAATTCGTGAACCCAGGAGTCCAGGCCCCAGTCCCTTCTCCTTCAGACCCAGGAGTCCAGGTCCCCAGTCCTCCCTCCTCAGATCAAGGAGCCTAGACTCCTAGGCCATCCTCCCTTAGACCTAGGAGTACAGGACCCCAGCCCCTCTTCCCTCACACCAAAGAGCCCAGAGGCCCAGCTCCTCAGACCCAGGAGTCCAGGCCCCAGCCTCTCCTCCCTCAGACCCAGAAGCCGAGGCCCCCA